TGGCTTCTCCTGGTTGTGCTGGGAAGTCAGTTGATAAGGGTAGCAGAATTTATACCGTGAGGGGGAGTTGCACTAACTTCCTCTGTCAGATAGATACCTCTTATTTCCATATCTCTAGAAACTTCTCTTAGTGTCTCCGAACCGATCACTAGAAGCATTTTTTAGTTGCGGTGAAATTTCCAAGTTACCGTGTTAAGGAGAAGAAAGCAGCACCACAGCAAAGATCCTGAGTTTAACCAGCCTTCTGGCTTTAAATTCTGGATTTGTCATAGAGGCAGGGATATCAGGGGCCAGATTCAAGATGTGTGGCTGGCTCCCATATTCTGTTCTCCCATGTTTCCTGCTAACATGTTTTGGTGAGAGTTACTGGTTTTTGCGCATAGCGTGTTATCAAGTTAAGAGTTCTCATCTACATGGCTGACCAGGAAACTGTCTGTGGGTCTCCTGCACTTCAGATCCCTGAATTTCCTAAAAGGCAGTGAGTATCTGCCTATTCCATGCACTACCCACCTTTCACTGACAGAGAAACAGCAAGTTATATTATTTATTTTTTTTATTTTATAAAGAAGGCGAGGAGAAAATACTGGCAGAAGAACTGAGGTTGTGAAAACCTCAGAAAAGGTGAGATTATGAACTGATAAGGCAAAAGACTGTAGAGGTCATGAATTCCAGCCTTCATGGGTTTTATTTTTCTAGTAATTGCTGGAATGCAGAATAAACCCATTGAAATCAAAGGTCAGACTCTCAACTCACCTGCACAAATTTTGTGCTGCTATTAGTGCACTGATTTAAGGAGGGGTGGGTTTGTTTTTTTCAATTTGTTCATTAGCTTTGTATCAAAATAGTATCCAGAGGTTTTTATCCGGTATTGCTGAATGTGCTTGTGCTATTTTTAGTGTAAGTATTTAAGTTTAGAAATAGACATATTTGCAGTCACAAGAGGAACAGAAAAATCAGGTTTCTCCATTTGAGAGGAAAATGTAAACCTTATGGAAATTAGGGGTGCCATACTGAGTACATGAAAAAAGTGAAACTTGAGTTTCTTGAAAATGAAATAAATCAGAGAATCATAGAATGTGTTCGGCTGAAAGAGACCTTTAAATGCTAAAGAATAATACTGTGTAAATACTGAAAATCAGGTGTTCCTTACTTTAATGTTGGATAATGTACCATGTGCAAAAGTTTAGTAAATTTCTGTTAAATGCAGTTGTTATTTCGAAGGGAGTTCAGATTGGCTGCTTTAGAAACACGTATTTGGATCCACTTTTTTTACATATATCTAAGCATGAGGTAGTTTAGTGGCAAGACTTCGGAATAAATTGTCCAGAGAAGTTGTGGATGCCCCCTCGCTTGAACTGAGCAAGCACATAGTTGTTATTTTGTTTAGCTTGGGAGTTTGTTTGTTTCTCATTTTTAAATGCATCCAGTGAGGTGCTTTCAGCTTGTTAAGAGTCTGCCAGAAGCTGTCCACATTGCATCAGGTGGAGGTTGCATGTCAGTTGCAGGGATGGTGGGAGGCAAAGTAGGAGATTGACAGTGGTTGGTTGCAAGAAGTTGACATTTGGGAAAGAGACTTGCAAGGGTCTGCTTCCTTCAGTGAAAAGCATGATTAGTATAGAAGCATGGCATTTTTATAGCTTTTCTCTAATGGAAGTACACTTCTGTATAACTGGCCTTGGATAGATGTTTATTTGTCTTGTAAGAGCAGTATGTTTTACAGGTCTCTATAAATGCAAGCAAATAGGGTCCTCGATTGTTTCCCTTTTTCCTAGCTAAAGTAGTGCAGAGCTTTGGCACAGAGCTAGATGTTTTCTGTCTGTATTGGAGAAAACTCAGATTTGAACTTAAAGAATCGTGTTATGGGCAAGGCTTCGTATCCATGCCCTGTAAGATACGCCAGTATTATTCTCTATAAGCATTTCAAATGAACACCAGAAACCGGCCAGTCTTGCTTTTGTATAGTTTAGATTTAGTTGATACTGGTCTTCCTAGCTAGGCTAGGGAACATCTTGAGAAGAAAATAAAATCTTTGCAGCTCTACGTGAAATTTGGGTGCTAGCAGTCCATGTCAGAGTTGTTGGGAGACAAAACTGATACAATATAATAATTCCAAAGTGTTACTGTGTTGGCTGCTAGAACTAACCTGCATTAGGGTGACATTCTGTTAGCCTTTGTTAAACTGTCTGGTTTAACTCAGGTAATCTGATATTACATATTAGAATAGACCTTGCATGGAAAGAACCAGCTCATTTTCTTGTTTAAGTGCTTTACCTCGAACACTGAACTCAGGGATGATGATAGAGTGGTAGTGAGGAAAGTACTTGAATAAAGCAAAAAACCCTCTGCCTAATGCTCTACCTGATTAAATTTCAAGAACATTTAAAATCTTGTTGAGGAAAGGTAGGTGACATTGCTAACTATAGATGCAGAGGCCTGTGAGCTGGTGCCAACTGTTGCCACTTAAGTTCTCATATCACAGCAGAGCCATCTTGAGGTTCCTGTATTTGCAAACACTGCTAATTTGTAGAGAGAACAGTCAGTCCATTTTTGGGTAACTGAAGTAAACCTGCATATCCTTTTTCTACTGAAGGTGATAATACTTGTCTCTAAGAAAATGGAATTAATGTGCAATAGGCAAACTCGGTTTTCATCATCTTAATGTTGCTTGCTGTTTTTCTCAGGTTGTCAAGAGAGAAGGCACTGGAACAGAGTCTCCAATGATAGGTGATAAAGTGACAGTCCATTACACAGGATGGCTTCTTGATGGCACAAAATTTGACTCCAGTCTGGACAGGAGAGACAAATTTTCATTTGACTTGGGGAAAGGTAATATCATGTGTTTGGTATTGATCAGTTTAGGTAATAATTGAAATGGATTTCATTGCATTGTGCCTCCTTTGCATGTTAATATTGTTACTTAAACTTGTTTTCAAAGCTTAAGATTTATTCTTGTAGAATGGTGAAATCAGAATGGTTTTGCTATTTTTCTGAATGAGAAAACTGTAGCCCCTGGATGAGGCCTGCTGAAGAATTCTCCAGGAGAGCAAATTTGCCCTGAGGTATAGTGGTAAAGGTAGTTAAATAGCCAGAATGCACATTTTGTTGATTGTGGATTGTCTTTGGCAAAGACTCAAATTTAAGAGTATTTAATCGTGACCATATGCTGGGACAGGGTGCCCAGGGGCAGTTGTCACTTGCAGGGTGAGGAAACATACTCCCTTTTTCCCTGAATTCCCAAATTTACCCAAGTAATGAATCTTGAAGTGGTGCATCCCTTCGTTATCAAAAGCCTTAATTTTTGTTCTGGCAAATCATGTTACTCAGTCTGAGCTTTCCCTGGCAGTTCCGTATGTGCTTTTTCATTTGGTAGATAAATTCTGCAGTGTACTGAAATTGGAGATGATGTGAAGTGTACCTGTTAATACAAGACTAATAGAAGGACTGCTTGATTGCGTTGAAAGTAGCAGTAAATAGGAGAACTTGAGTTAGAGACAAGATCTTGTTTCTTGAGATCCCAGCTTCTCTTCACTTTTGGCTTCAGAATGAATACTCCTTCTTGTACTTTCCTTCCCCTTTCTGTTACAAGTACATGTAACTTTTAGTTACCACTTGTACTGCTCTTTGCCAACTGATAAAGTACAGAGTGAAAGGCTGTTGCTTTGGATTGTTTTCAAAATATGAGCAGGCAATCTCTCACCCTAAGACCTTCTCTTTGAAGAGTTTATTGTTGTTTCCTTGCACTTGAGATTGTGCCAAGCATTTCAGACTGTGTCTGTATTCAGATTACTTGTATTCTCTAAGGGTAGGAAAGAACGGGAGGAAGACAATCACTACACTAGAATGAAAAAATTTAGCCAAATTGAGGTCCCCAGGTAACTTTATAATTTGATTAGGGTTAAAACTGATGTGCAAGAATCGGAACGAGCACAAGTCTTTCAGAATTTCTGCTCTGTTTTAGCTTTTCTATGCTAAAAGTTATGATGCTCAGTTTCACAGCTCATGATGCTTTCCATGCATGCTTAACAATCATGTGATTGAAATTTGACTTGTATAGGTGAAGTGATCAAAGCATGGGACATTGCTGTGGCAACTATGAAGGTTGGTGAAATCTGTCAGATTACATGTAGACCAGAATATGCCTATGGCTCAGCTGGGAGCCCCCCAAAGATACCTCCAAACGCTACACTGATTTTTGAGGTAAGTGAGAAGCAGTCGCTAAAACTGTACACATGAAAAATAAAAATAATATTTCACTGTAGAAAATGTATGATGTAATATCCTTACAAAACAGGAATGTTAGGTTTCCTAGAGAAAAATACGGTCAGTTAGAGTAGTGTGGGTAAACCATAGAGTTCTAGTTTGGCCTCTGTTGATGTGCAGTGGCTCAGGTTCCCTTATTTTGGACCTTTAAAAATACGTGAATGTTTTCTAGGGTTCATAGTTTTAATTTTAATGTTAAGGAACGAATTACCATAGGAGTGTGCAGGTTGGCAGACTGTCTCCATGGCAAAATCTGTAGTAGTTGAAAAAATGAAATCCTTAATCCTCTTTCCACCTCATAGGACTCAAAATTCTGTTAAACCTTACAAAGTTTTCAACAACAGAAAGGGCAGTTAATGTCCTCAGTAATACATTTTTTCATACTTTTTTTGTACTTTCTGTGCAATATTAACATAATTACCCCATATAAAGTACTAGAATATAAAATGTATTTAAACAGCACTGTAACCATGACTTTTGTTTCCTGTAGAGCTGAATATTTTAATAAGCCTTAAAGCACCATAAGAACAATTTGGATTCAGGTTGCTTGTTGATTACCAAAGTCTGTCTGTTGATCCAGACCACTCTGATCAATTGTACCATCATAGAAAGTAATTTGTACACACTGGGACCCTGTGACAGATTCAGCAGACTGACTTTCGTGTCTGGGTGAGCTGTACATCTTGGAGAGCATGGAGCCAGCTAGCATGGGTATTTTTAAGAAATACCTCACCAGCAGAGGACAGAATGTGTTTCCTATTGATCTTCAAGGCATCTTCCACCCCCTGCTTTCCCAAAAGGGAGTGGAAACAGCAGCTCTCTTGTGCATCATTTCAGTAGTGAGAGCGGTTGCTCTGAATGCTGTGACTTGTGTTTGATTTTTTTTTTTTTTTTTTTACAGAGGGCAATACTAAAGCTGTTCCTGGAGCATGCTCTGTCAAACAGTCTCAACAGTATTTTGGGAGGATATAGTTTGCTTATTGTTGAAACAGTTCACTTTTACAATAAGAGACTTAAAATAACTACACCCAAGGGAAAGCAGATAGACTCAATTTTTAAGTGTGATTTTTGAAAATACTTTTTTATAAAGGACTTAATCAATAGAATGGACTCCTACGTTGGGGATACAAGGAAAGTTTTAAATTCTGATGATTACTCTTAAGATGGAATTATCTAGTATCTGAGAACAGGTAAAAATGGCTCATGGAGTAGGGATTGAAAACTTACTTAGATTTTAATGGAAATAATGACCACCTATTAAGAAAGAGAGTAAGAAGGTAATAGTAGTGTTTATATCCCCTAATGCCTGCCTGAGTGGTAATGTTACAGGTAGAAAGGGAGAAAGAAAAGCGCTGAAGCTGCGTATCATGATTTTGTGCTTCCCTAACAAAGCAGCCTGCAGATGACTGTCTACAACAAATAAGTGCTGGTTGTGTCATAAATTTGGGAGAGCGGAGTGGAACTTAGGTCCAGAAAGTTTTCCAAAGTTTTAAGAGATACGAGTGTTTTCTGACTAGTATGACCCTAGTGCACTTAAAATTGCATTGAAGTTTCTATTTTCTTTAGTCTTGCTTCTGTCTTTTTTTAATTATGTAAAATAACTTCAGCATAATTCCTTTGCAAGTGCTGTCACTATAGAAATTTTTTTTTATGCGTTACCTTAAAAAAGACCCTCAAAGTTATGCTGAAAGGTTTTGTAGCTGCATGATCACTATGTCAGCATTTGGTTATGAGCTGAAATAATGGACGTCTTATGGTTTAGTTTGATTGTTAGAAAGTTTTTTTCCTTTGTCATGATTGCTTTTGCTGAGCAATGTGAATAAATAGGTTCTTACATGGAATACTGTTATTCAGGTTAAGAAAACCAACCAACCAACCAAAAAACCCAAAATGGAAGCCTGTATGTTCATCAGTGGGATATTCTGGAATGACTTAGCTTGTTTCAGACTGAAGAGAAAAAGAATATTTTTTTATTAGGTATCCATGAAAAGACAAAAGGTAAAAGTACTGTTTTTGCTGGTGAATACTCAGTTCTCTCTGGGTTTCTTAAGTCCATTCTCCTGAACGTCCACAGCATTAAGTCTGAACTTTTTTTTTTAAAAAAAAAAGGTATTTAGTCTAAGTAATGCTAATTATATTGGCTTGCTCTTTTGTGCTATTTTTACTCAAACATAGAATAGCTAAAGGTTGGGTTTTTTCTTAATTTCATAGCAGCAACAACAAATTCTGACCAGACTATTTCTGTCTTACATGGTACTCCCACTTTAAACTGTGTTTTGCATTAGACTTGGAAGATCATGTCAAGATTCCGGCTGGTTAGCTATCTCCTACATTAAGACCAGCTCTTAAAAACTCTAAACAATTTGTTGCAGCAACATATTTAGATTAAAGATGGGCCAGATCATGGTCTGGTTGTTCTATCATTCTTCTGGAAATACTTTTTCTCTGAAATGATCCCACAATACACAATGATAAAGAAAGATTAGAGAGGAAAACGTAACGAGTAAAAAGAGAACACTAACCCTGCTAAGGCATGCAAGGGAGAATGACACAGAAGTTTTGAAATTATTGTCCTGTGGCACAAGAGTAGGAGGATGAAGAAACACAAGGGAATAGCTGAAGTCTGAAAAGATACTCTTGAATTTATTTTAATATTGCAGGACGACCATTTGGAATTAGTTTGGACTCATTCCAAGTACTTTCAAGTTGAATTTGACCATAGATAGAATCAAGGGTATAATGAGGAGCTAAGGATAAGGATTGCATCTCTACATTCAATTTTCTTGCTGCTTTTGTCCTTGCATTACTTACAAACCTCCCGGGCCTGTGGATGCAGTGACAGTACTGGTGATTCTACTTCACTGTAAACTAAGAGGGTGTGACAACTGTTGATCAGTTTGGTAGCACTGGAAAGTGGCAGCTGAGATAAAAGTCTTCCTGGCTTACTGTGTTCTAAAGGTATCTTCCCTCATATTAAAAAAAACCCAAAAAACTCCAAACAAAACCTCAAGCCCAAAACCCCCTGTCTGTACTTCTGTCTGCAGACATGAGTAAAAATACTATTAAAGAAGCCAGTGGAATCTTTTTGCAGTAGTCCCTTAAGCATTATGGCTCATGTAAGCTTTACTCAGAAGCCACAGTCACAATCGTTTCAATTAAAAAATCTAATTTATACTTCTGGAGACCAAGATTGATGTAGTAAAAAAAGCCGTAAAGGCCTGAATATAATATGAAACTCTTCTGTAGGTTTCCATCCAGTATCTATTGAATATAGCATCTTCATAGCCTTGGCTATCTAACGTCTTACAGGACATTAACTAAGATAGTAGCTTCCTGAACAGTTACTGTTTCAAAGATCTTCAGAGAACAAATTCTGTGGGTAACTGAACTGCTGTCATGAGAATAAATGCAAGGCTTTTCTTCCCTCCACAGATAGAGCTTTTTGAGTTCAAGGGGGAGGATCTCACTGATGATGAAGATGGTGGCATCATCCGAAGAATCCGTAAAAAAGGGGAAGGCCACTCTAAGCCCAACGAGGGAGCGCTTGTAGAAAGTAAGTATGTTTCACAAATAGTAAATACATCTATCATGTGGGAGGGCAGAACCTTTTTTCCAATCTACTAACCTTTTTTCCAAACTCCTTGTCCTGAGAGAGCAGTATGTGGCTTCTCTTTCCTTTACTAAGTAACTTAACCTAGAGTAAGCTTTCATTCTCTTATTTTTAGCGAGGTTTACATTTCTTCAGCAGCAACTGTGTTCTCCAGAGGTACTGGATCTGATGAAGTCCTTATCTAATCACAAAAGTAGATGTGTCTAATAAAGTATTTCCATTTACTGAGGAGCAGGAGACGAAGTAGTTCTGGCATGTGTGGTTGAAGTGCAAAAAAAATTAAAATGGATGAACAAGAAAAGAGTTAAGCAGCAGTTCTGTTTGCTGCCAGTAGCCAACAAAAAAGGTGATTTAGGAGAAGGCTTTATCATTCCTGATATTACCTGTAGTATGTGCCCCTTACCACACATAGACATATTCTGATTTTTTTCTCTGGTTTATTCTGTTTTTTGCTACCAGTCCAGTTTGAAGGCCGATATGGAGATCGTGTTTTTGACAGGCGGGAACTGCGGTTTGAGATCGGAGAAGGTGACAACTATGATCTCCCTCATGGTCTGGAGAAAGCAATTCAAAGAATGGAGAAATCGGAGGAATCTGTATTTTACCTAAAACCCAGGTATGCTGTTTCTGATGTTTTGGTACTTGAAGGGCTTATACTAAGCTTCTGGCAAGAATGAAGTGTATTTTGTTAGGCTTTTCAGCTTTTTTCAGTGCTGTACTAAAAATCTGATCAGCCCCAAAAGGTTGATACATGAGAAGTATGAAGCTAAGATTGCTTTCCCAATTGGTTGTGAAGTAGTAGCACTCTAGAAGACATTTACTTAAGTCTCTATAGTGTTGATCTCAATATTAAAAAAAATATTGTTTCTCTCTTATATTTTTGTGGGCCCTCTTAACAGTACTTGCTGTACAGCCATGCATATAAAGATACCTAAAGAACAGCTTCAGAACAGGAAAAGAGCTGGTGAGCTTTCTGAGCAGCCCAGTGTGATCAGATAGCTAGTCCTTAGGTGTGTACTTAGTAGAGTATCAGAAATCCTTTGTCAGTAGAAAACATTCACCGGTATTCTGAAAGCCTTTTGAAAAAAGACCTTCAAGATTCCTATAAGATACAAGACAAATTAATTGGACCATTATGCGAACTCTCTGGCAATAAGAACAGCTAACAGATGTATGACTGCCCAGTGTTATAACCTTAAACAAGACTGTTTAAGTGTAAGTAGAATTTTCTGTTTACAAATAACACACATGAAACAAGAGAAGTTTGCACTGATTGTTTCCATCAAAATTTAATTGCAGTTCTTATTTTTTTTAAGACTGGAGCTGAACCTGATGGGAGAAGAAAACCAAAGAGATCTGATCTAGTGGGGGATGTCCCTGCCCATGGCGGGAAGGGGTGGAACTAGATGATCTTTAAGGTCCTTTCCAACCCTGATGATTCTATGATTCTGTATCTGATCTTGAGAGTTTTCCTGCTAATTATGAAGGTTTTTACTGGAGCTGCAGTTTAGAACGTTTCTGTAGACATTTACTGCTTATCACCTGGTTGGCAGTATGTTAAGTGCACAGTTGTTGACTTAATCTCTGTATTTTTTGTTGTCTTGGCCTTTCTGAGAATAGTACTAAAATACAAGTGCAGTGAAGGAAGTACTCAGTCTCAGACCTTGAATATAAAGCAAGATGTGTATAACTGGAAAGTCTGGGCTTTTTCTCCTTTATGAAGAGAACTTGCTTTTTGTTCATGTAAAAAAAAAAAAAAAAAAAAAAAAGAGGTGGTTGTAATCTAGAGATTAACTAAACCCCAGGTTTCTCCAGCTTTCTGCTACCTTGTGCTTGCTAATTTTAGAGTAATATGGAGAATTCTTCAAGCCTTTATGTCCCATAATAATGCTGTATAGGCATCCCAGATTTGCATGAGATTTTTGTCTCCAGCTTCTTTTATGGCAAATATGAGTGGCTGGGTAGTTACAGAACTTAAGTTTCTTTTCCTCTCCCACCACACTCCCAATCTTACAGCTATGGTTTTGGAAGTGCTGGGAAGGAGAAGTTTCAGATCCCTCCAGATGCAGAGCTACAGTATGAAGTGAAACTCAAAAACTTTGAAAAGGTAAGAATGAGAGATGAAGTTCCCAGGAGATGGGGAGGTGGTGAAAGAAGCGATACTGTGGCTTAAACAAGAACAACGGAATCCTTGAACTTTGGTCTGAAATGAGGAAGCCACCGTTGCCAGAGATGATCACCCACTGGGAGCTCTTGGCTGAGATTGTTCTTGTTCTTACTGTAACCCTGTCTGTTGCTGTCAAGTGTTTCTTCTACTCTAGCCCCGTTTCCATTGCTAGTCCTGTTGGACGTTAAAATAGCTTACTTGTGGAATATTAGAATTGGTAGTGGGATTGCTTGAAATCATAATGAATCACAATTTGTTTTGTCTTATGAGTGACACTGTTTAGGGTGAGTGGCCAGATTTACTGAGGCCTTAGGCTCAGACTGTGGATTTTTACCGACATACTGATTAGCTTAAGTTGAAGAAAGGCCCAGAAACCTGTGCTGATTGAGAAAGATCAACAGAAACTGCATCCTCAAGATAAAGAAAAGAATGCATACCTGGAGAGAAAGTAAAGATCCAATGAGGAAGAAGAAGACCCCAGACCCAAATATTACTATTGGACTGAACTATTGCGTGAGGGCAGGTGAACTTGGATTGTAAAGGACTTGTCCAGGGATTTCTTTGATTGGGGTCCCTCTCGGAGGGTCCTAGCTCGAGCTGAAATAAACCAGCTCTGTGGCAGAACTGTTCTTTACAGCTGGGGGCTAAGGCTGGATCCAGCCACACCTAAAGTCCTCTCCATGAGGATGTTTAGAAAGCAGAGAGGTCCAGTCTGAACCCTATGGCTTGGCAGGAGGATCCTCATGGACTTGTCTATAACAAGTCCTTTGCAAAAACTATCTCTACCATACTGTTACTGGGAAGCAGGATAGTGGGGTAGTTTCCCTAGAAGCTGTATCATTGACTTGAAGTTTTTGTGTTTGGGTAGGCTAAGGAGTCTTGGGAAATGAACACAGACGAGAAGCTGGAACAAAGCGGCATTGTGAAGGAGCGAGGCACTCAGTACTTCAAGGTAAGTTACAGTCCTGAGGTAATAGTAGCATTTCTTAGTCTTAATGATGAATACAGCTTCTGTCACTTCAGAGTAGTGTTCAAGTAACATTTTGCAGGGAGGACTGAAGGGGATGGTGTCTTAAGAAAGAAAGCAAGCCTGAGAGTTGGAATACCCAAAGAACTCTGCAGTGAGTTGATTCTCTCTGTCAAGAGTTGTTAGCTGCACCTACAGATAACTTTGGGGCATAGATTAAATAGTAGCAAGGTTTTTTCTGCTGTGGGATAGTGTTGTGAATTAACAATATTCACTTGGGTAGAGACTTGTGGAGAAGCTGTTTCTAACAATTTGACCAGCTGAAGACAGACTTTCTCATTATCTTCATGACACAGCAACAGTTACGCTGTATTGAAAATAACTCATCTTTCTTGTTTTGTATCAAAAGTTGAATATAAAGTGAAAGTTGAGAGCGCTAGCCTATACCCCTGGCTTTAGTGAGGGAACCAGTAGGTATTATTTGTAAAGCTTTTCTAATCCTATCCAGAAATGGCTTTCAGAAGAAGTATATTTTTTATTATAGACATCATTTTCTGATTGAATTATTATTTTCAGATCTGTTGCTCAAAGTAAGCAGAAGGTGCAAGAGGGAGATAAAAGTTACTGTGATGAGCTGTGTGATAATTGAACTGCCTTGTTTACAGGAGGGGAAATACAAACAGGCAGCATTACAGTATAAGAAGATTGTGTCATGGCTGGAACATGAATCAGGACTCTCCGATGAGGAGAATACGAAAGCCAAAAGCTTAAGGCTTGCTGCCCACCTTAATCTAGCTATGTGCCATCTCAAACTGAAGGAGTACTCCCAGGCCTTGGAGAACTGTAACAAGGTAGTAAGAGTTCGTTCTTAAACTGTCAGATTGCTTGTGCAGCTTATTTCTTGCTTTAACAATTTGAGGGATACCAGGCCATGTGCTGTTTAGCCTTTCTTACCAGCTGGCAGTTGGGTAGCACTGAGTACACAATGTAAAAATATCCAAGTTATTTTCATAATTACTGTCCTTTGAATATCTTTTACTAATTTGCTGCTACGTTGACAATATTCAAGTATTTAGAAATCAGAAGTACTGAGATGCAGTGAAAGTATTTATGTCAGCAAAGGTCCTTCGAAAAGCTGGAATACTACTATATAGTAAGCTTTCATTAGAATTTTAGTAAATAGTAGTTCAGTTAACCTGTATTTAATAATACTACTCTGTACTTATTTCTGCTGGATTCAGCTCACCTTATTAGTAAGCACTGACAAAACTCATAAATCTGTGTCAAAAGTTAGAGTTTCAAGCAGTCTCTGGTATTCTGATTGCATATTATTAAAAAAAACCCAAACAAAACAAAAAACCCAAACTGTTCTTGAATGTGGTTTTGGTTTGGTTTTCAATGCAGGCACTCGAATTGGATAGCAACAATGAAAAAGGCCTCTTTCGGCGTGGAGAAGCGCACTTGGCTGCCAATGACTTTGAATTGGCCCGGGGAGATTTCCAGAAAGTAATACAACTTTATCCAAGTAACAAAGCTGCTAAGGTGCAACTGGTAACTTGTCAGCAAAAAATACGGGAGCAGCATGAGAAAGAGAAAAAGATGTATGCCAACATGTTCCAAAGGCTTGCAGACAAAGACTTAAAGGTAAGTAACACTACTCCAGAAGACTACAAGAAGTGGTGTTCACGTGTTAGACAAGGAATAGTGTTTGGCTTGCTTCTTTGTATAGATAATGGGAGAACACTCAAGTGGTTTCCTCGGTGGAGGGAGAGATGGAAATAGCCAACGGAATGATTAGGCCATCATGTTTGAATAAGACAACTAGCAAGTACCAAGCATCCTACAGAATGTTTTTACTTCTTTCGACTGATTGTGCAAGAGACCAATGTTAATCAGAAAGCAATTGACATGATGAGATGCAAACATGAAGCTCAAGAACTCAAAAAAGCACTGGTTCTCCTTCAACTGATCATTCTAAGGAACAGTCTGTTCTGGTGCCTCGGTGGCCCATCTACTGAGACCTTATGTCTGTTGTACAGGTGGTTCTAAGCACCATCTTGCTTCTTATGGAGACATTAAAATGTGGTTGATGCTCTCCATCTCAGATGTCACAGATTGATTATGAGTGTCAGAATTTAGACTGTCAGAAAGAGTCATTCTACTGTATGGATAGTTTCACTAGTAAGCTTTCATTAGAATTTTAGTAAAATAGTAGTTCAGTTAACCTGTATTTAAATATTGCCATTGTTACAACAAGAAACATTGTTATAGCAAGAAACACTCGGTGTTACTCGTGAGCCTAAGAAGATGTTCTGTTTGATTTACTTAAGTCGGATGGTCCAGAAGGACTAGGTAAACCTGTAACTTCTAAGACAAACCTGGGATTTACACCAAACTTGAATTTTCTCAGTAACGTTGGGGAATGCAGAAGCTTGCATCTTGTGAGGTTATTTTTACAGATCATGTGTCCACCTTTCCAGAATATGCGTGGAGAATCTAAAAAATTGTCAGATATTGGTACGTTGGTTTCCTGTGGTCAGCTGTGTCAGTGAGTGTCCAGGTACCCACTGTCCTCAGATGAGTATATCTTGACAATTCAGCCATCTCAGACTGTCAGCTGACAATTTCCTACATGAAGCAAACCTTTCTTTTTCTGCTTCTTCCCCGAAGTTTCACAATTAGTTATATAGGAAATTGACTTATCTCCCAGAGACAATAGGATATTTATTCTTCATCTCTTTCTCTGCCAAAGTAGTCCTTTAGGAAGCATGGCGTAATCACCCCTAACCTAGATGGTTGGGGAGGGCAAGCTGTTTTGTTTGTGGCTTTTTTGTTGTGGGTTTTGTTTTGTGGGTTTTTTTGTCTTCAAAGCGCAGCAGTAGTTCTATAGATTTGTTTTGGCTTCTCATGGAGACATTCCCCACTGATCCTGCAAGGAAAGTGTCATGGACTGTGTAGTGATGTATCTGGCTAAAGCAGCCTGATGTCAACAGTCTTTGCATATTGGAGCCTTGCAGAAAGTCCTTTGTCTTTTTAGACATTTCCATGTAAAGTCATGCAGTACCTTAGACTTAATAAAAAATCTCAGAAAGATAAAGATGGAGCAACTGAAGTAGGATTATTTCATTGTTGGGCATCATTGCTTCTGAAATTACAGGTTTTAATTGCCAGCTGTCAGGCTCTGCTGTACAGATTCCCGGCAGCTAGCCCAGCTGCTGGGAATCTGGCTTTCTCCACTAGGTATGGGACATGGCAAGATTGGCTGTTCAGAGGGGGAGAGTGAATTGCTGAAACAAACTATACCCGCTAAAAGTATGAACGGGCTAGCTTTGTGTTCTTCAAAGTGCAGTTCTGAAGGCAAGACAGTTGGTCGAGTCGCGTTCTTGGCAAAACGCAGACTCACAGTCTTTGCACTGCAGACTGTTTGGAATACTGCAAAGATGTGACACTTGAGTTCCAGTTTTCCCATCTAATTTGGATAGAATCAACTTGCAGAGTTGTAGAATAATACAGTTTTGAAAAGACCCTTAAGATCATAATAGTTCAACTATTACCCTAGCACTGCCAAGTCCACCACTAAACCATGTCCCTAAATGCCACATTTTATGCGTCTTTTAAATAACTTCTGGGGCTGATGACTCAACTGCTTCCCTGGGCAACATGCTCTAGTGCTTGACAAACCTTTCAGTGAAGAAGTTTTTCCTAATGTCCAGTCTAAACCTCCCTTGGTGCAACTTGAGGCCGTCTCCTCTTGTTACGTGGCAGAAGAGACTGACCCCCACCTCACTACAACCTCCTTCCAGGTAGTTGAAGAGATTGACAAGTCTCCCCTCAGCCTCCTTTTCTCCAGGCTAAACAACCCCAGTTCCCTCAGCCTCTCCTCACAGGACTTGTTCTCTAGTCCCTTCGCCAGCTTCATTGCTCTTCTCTGGACACATTCCAGCACCTCAATGTGTGTCTTGTTGTGAGGGGCCCAAAACTGAACACAAGATTTGAGGCGCGGTGTCACCAGTGCCAAGTACAGGGGGACAGTCATTTCCCTGGTCCTGCTGGCCACAGTTGCTGATACAGCCCAGGGTGATGCTGTTGGTTTGGTTCATTCTTATCAATGGGTAAATGATCTTCAGAATGTGCATGTGTTTACACCCTTTTTTCTGGAAGCCATCTGGCTGGCTTCAAATTGATGTGGTTTTATGTGAAAGGGGATTGATGGAACGTGGAACTGTAAAACAAAGGATGCTTATTTCCCAAGGGATGCTTACTTGCAGGGAGACCAGGTATCCTAGTCATAAGAATCCAGTAATGTTTGTGATACTGTTTGCAAATGCTAGCAATTTTGTTTAACAAAGGAATGTATTTTTTTTTCTCTATTTAGTCAGCTGCTGCTCTTCAAACCAGCCGCACTGAAGATGCAGAAATGAAAGATGAGCAGAATGGAGTTGGAGATAAATCGGAAGTTGACGCAGAAGCATAAAAACAAACCCTATTCCATTAGTTTTGTAAAGAAAGAATTTCCAGTGAATTAGACCTTTATTTTTCTACCTGGTTGGACAGTGGCTTCAGGGGAGCAGAGGCTGAAGCCACCATGCCACAGTCAGTTACAGCTTTATATATCTGTTGAAGAAGCTGAGTGGCAGCAGAAATCTGGTTTAATCCTAGGGACCTTTTATTTATTCATTCAGCCTCTGTTACTGTTTGGGTTCTGTCTGGATTTACTCTGCTTGGTTTATTTGCATTTTGCCATTGGTGTTTGTCTCTTTCTGGTTCCAGCTCACTTAAATCCCAGGTTCTGCTTCCTAAATTTCTTGATTTCTTTCAAGTAATCAGCCTTTTCCAGGTGTCCTCACATGGGATTTTAGAACAAATTGGCGCTCCCATTTCTTCTGCCTTCATATTGCCCCATTCCCTCATGTTCAGTAGAGAATCCCTTCCATTAAGTGTTGTAACCTTTCTTGTATGCCTGCTCTTTGCAAATCACTGAAGGTGAAGACTGTGAAGTCACAGCTTAAGTAATAAAGCTCCAATTAAACTCAAGAAAATGGAACATTTCATGGGTTTTTATTGGAATTTGTACAGAATTAAAAGAATTTACTGTCCTTTGGTCATTCAGCATTTTTTCATTCACATAGCTGTACAGTAGCTACAGTACTTGATTCCTTTTAGGTTGTTCATTCATTGTAATAGAAAATTCCCACAATAATTGGTACAGTATTTACCCATATATTTGCAAAAGGAAAAAAATATGTTGCTGAAAATTACAGAAAAAGCAAGTCTGTAACCTATATACAGGACTTGTTTTCTGTTCATATTGCTACCTGCCTCTTCACCCTCCACATTGTAAAACTGGACCAGAAAAAACCTCAACACATACCTGAAAGTGACTGGCTTTGAAGAGAAGATAGGAGATAATGGTTTAACACATTACAAATATTTGTAAATCCTAATGAACTACAAGCTTCTGGGTGATTCTAATGTCTGCTTATCCCCATCTCACCAGGAAGCTATTACTTGATACTTTGCTTCTTTCTGCAGTATGTTGTGTGTCTTGTTTGGGGGCAGGTGTGCTTTTGGGTGTGCTTTCTGTTGGGACAGTTTTTTGTTTGTCTGCAGGCATGGAACTGGCTACTCAAACTCACCTTTGTTGTTATGTGGTGGTAAACTCAGCATCTCCACTGTCATGAGACCCTCTAGCAGCAGGGACCCTTTTTCTTTGCATGCTCTGCAGGAGCAAGGTAGATAATCTGTTCCTTTTGGGTACAAAAATTGCTTTTTTGCAGTGAGAAAGATGTTTTGTCTTTGCATGGCATGAGGTGGGCTGGAATTCTGTGTATATTGCAGAGAATATCCCTGTTTTAATAGCAATGATGTGTAATCCTAGTTTGAATTCTTGGTCTCTTTTGCTGAGACAGAGATACTGCATAAGCACTTACTCTTGGGGTTCTTACAGGCCAGGAGGTTGCCGTTGACTGTCTGGGCAGCAGCGCCAGCTTGGGCCTGGCAGCTGTGAAACCTGGCTGTCACCAAAAATGGTAGGGCCTGCTTGGTGTGGTGTCCTGCCCCCAGCCCCAAGACAAGGAGTTCACCACCTGCTGCTGATCTGGAGCTGGCTTAGGGCTCTGCTCTATGCATGGCATAGAAATACCCCAAGCTTCAGTGGGGTGTGGGAGGGATAAGAGAAGAGGCAGGATAAAGTGCTTGGTAGGCCATCCCGTTTTAAGAAAATACTGGTTTGATTTGCTTAGCAAAATCTTAGTGTCACCAGGTAATGCAGGTACTTTTCCTGAGTTCTGAGTACCAACAGTATCAGCCTTGCACCTGTGAAAACTGTTTTACCTTGTACCAAAACACAACTATATCTGAGGGGAATGCTACACACGGGTTACAGCAAGGTGTGAAGAATGTCTGTCCACTGAAGTTAAAAGAGGGCATTTTCAGACATAGAAGAACAGTAAGGGGAGCAGGAACACCAAGCAGGAATTCTTTTTCTCCGGCAAGAAAATACCTTGGCTTGTTGGGAATTACTAGTGGAAACAGAAGCCTTTGATGGCGAAACTGTTACTGTGATAAGCATAGGGCCAAGTCCTGACAGGTCTAACAGTTCTTCAATGTGTTTTTGAAAGCAAAAAGTGAGATTATTTCTACAGAGCATCTAAAAAATTCCTAGAGTCAATGGTGGATAAATGTGAGCAATCTCAAAAGTTACCATCTTACGACATAACAAAATATGAAGTCTTTAAGAATGTAAATCTGTTAAGGGTACTAATAAGCATGCCCTGTTCAGGCAGTGGGAAGGAAGTTCTGTGGTGTCTTTAAACATAGGTTCAGCTGCCAGCCAGAGATGGCATACTAGTGTTCGTAACTGAGGTCGTGCATGTAAACTGCAACTATAAACCATTTGTTATGTCCTTATATAAAAATGCTCAAAATAAACAATTACGATACTGACTTTGTAAACCGCACAGCTCTGTCTCTCCATTTACAAATCCTTCATCCTGTGCTGTATTCTTTTAGCAGTCGTACGGTATCTTTGATCTTAGAGAGGTGTCTCGGTTTGCTGCCACCCGTGAAAGCTGAAACAACGGCTGGGAAGCAGAAGGGAACCCCTGCCCGGGGCTGCTGGGTGATTTACCGGGAATCGAAGGTCTCGTTTGCAGAAGGCGGCAAGGAAAGGGGTTTTGCTCTCGGGAGAGCCGGGTCGCGTCAAACGGCAGCCAGGCTCC